TTTCATTGCATTATCAATAATGAATAATTGCTGGATTTTTTTTTTTCTTTCTTTTTTTTTTTTTTTGTATTTTGAAGGTATGAATCCATAATGTAAGGTTATGATTCATTCATGCATCCAACCTCGATCCATCCATTCCCTTTTTAACTGCAATCTATCTATTCATTGCATTCCATTTTATTCATCCATTCATCCATCCCTCCCTCATTCTAGCAATTCAGCATCAATCTCTTCATTTATTTATTCATTTTTTGTTCTTATTGTTTTTTTCTCTCTTTCGCTTTTCTTTATTCTTTTCCTCTATTTTTCCTTCTGTCCTTCTAATTTTGCTCCTTATTTTTCTAGATCTATCCATATCAAACTTTCCACATAGAAAAGTTGTCGTTCCGCTCGAGCTGTTTCTTTTACCATATATGGAATGTACTTACCATATTAGGAAATTGGAATATAATTTTCTTCACTAAATAGGCGAATTGCTTGCTCAAAACTGCTCAAATTTACAGTAAATCGAGTGAAAACATCACTAACTAGTCAGCCATCTTGGTTTTGGCCGAAAAAAGACTGGAAATTGTGTAGGGGAGGGGAGCGTGGTTTGTCACCACAGGAAGCCCGCGAATGACTATTTTAATACATTTATCAGCCTTTTCATCTTCAGCGGTAGAGACTACAAATGTGAGTCAAAACATGTCAAAGCTGGTAACGAACAAAGACATCATTTGACATGCGGTGATTACGTCATGTCATAGCTATTTTGCCCACCTGCATTACGCATGCGCACACTTCTTTTTATTTTTTCTTTCCCCCACACATTATTACCACTTTTATCTCCTTCCCTGAGACGCTGTAAGTAATAAGGGCTCTGGAAACCATATTGTGTCTATGCAAGACCAAAAAACAAAATATCTTGCCTATTGAGCAATATCTAACTCAGTCTGGTAATCATATCACGAATAATATTCTAAACATTTGGTTCGCAATCTACTTTTGTCCGTGTGAAGGTATACTTTAATGCGGATTAATTACTCGTAAAAAAAAACAACAATTTCCTTTCAGTAGTTAATCTAAATAATTTAAAAAAATATAATCAAAAATTTACTCTTACTCGACTCTCAAATGGCTTTTCTTCTTTCCGATTGGTTAAAGCGAAAGCCATTTCATAGTCACAGTTGATGCCATTTCAATTCCAGATTCACACGGAGTCTTCAATTCTAGAAAGTTCCAGAGTCATTTTTTTCTCAAATATTTATTACAAGAGGTATTTCGAAAGAACATACGACTTGTTGATATAGACAAAGTTCAGCATTCTTCGCATACCAGAAATAACGCGAGACAATCTTCAGAATCAAAACAGAATCTAATATCTCTTGACCTTTTGGTTGATGTACTTGGGATGATAGTTGCTGTCAATAGCTAAGCTTCAAGTTCTGATTATGTTTGAAGAAGAAATTATAATGAAACAAGTAAAGCAAGAGGAAAGGAGGACAAGAATATTGGCGGATCCAGGATTTTTCAAAGGGGGTTTCCGTTTCTTAAACTGTGTATAATTCTCTTTTGTTTAGTCGATGTTTGACAAAAAAATTGGCTCTAATCACCTAATTTACTATCTAGTAACGGAACTTAAAGGTAAATTAGACATTATAACAGCAAATATCTATCATTTCGTGTTCAACATTATCTTTGTGGATACTTTTAAGCAAAATTTATATAAGACATACTTCTATTACCTAATAGATCAAATCTTCAAGGGGGGTTCCGTGGACCCCTTCGACCCCCCTGGATCCGCCACTAAAGAAACAAAAAAATGGAGGGAGGGATGGATGAATGGCCTATGGATGAATAGATGACACAGATGGCGCCCGTACTGCATTTAACAGTCATTATCGCATCTATTTTTGCGAACCTGTGTCAATAATGATGTACGCTTAAATCTTCTTTTCTTTTTCTGCCGAAATTCAAATTGATGACTGCTGCTATTTTCTTCGACAAAGTTAGTTATTACTAGCAGCCTAAAGGTAATACTACAAACTAATTACTTCCTCCGCCGATGGCAACAACCATTGTTGAAAATCGACAAAATGTCTGGATATTCAATGATATTTAATTTGGCATAAAAACTTAAGGTAGCATTAAGGTCGCCTTCATTAAAAAATTATTACAAAAATTACCTTTTGTATGTAATTTTTTAAAATCATTAAGTTTAACTTGAAAGCTTTATTGTGGTTTTCCAAAAATCTTCGAAATAGGTATCTTGAACTGAATAAAGAAATGTTCCTGAAGGGATTGAACCTGAAATAATATCGAAGAAATGTCTGTCAAAACCGGTTAGAGCTCATAAGATTATTATTATTTTATATTATGTACGTCAAACGCCCTTCATAATATTCTGGGCCAGGTTGTACGAAGATTGGATAGCGCTATCTGATGGATATAAATCTTTATCCAGTGGATACATTTATTGGATAACAGCATCACTTTATCCACTGGATAAGGTTTATCCGTTGGATATAGCGCTATCCATAATAATATTCGGCCTTCATAATATTCTCGGCCAGGTTGTACGAAGGGTGGATAGCGCTATCCGATGGATAAATCTTATCCAGTGGATAAATTTATTGGATAACAGCATCACTTTATCCACTGGCAACCAGGCCCTGCAGAAGTACATAAAGAAATCCGTTTACCTCAAAACATATTGAACAACAAAACTGAGAATCAAACTCATAGGAAATAACAGCAATGCTAAAAATAGGCTCAGCTGTATATTGACGTGTACGTTATCATGACGATAAACCAACGTCAGTGTTGTTACGTTATTCCTGACTGAACTAATAGTTCTGAACCTGCTTCTGATATCTAATATAGCTTGATTTCAACAAAAGATTGGGTGAAGATTTTGTTTCATATTGCATCTTGAATATTGCATTTTGCTTACTAAGCTTGAAACTTTTTATATTCATATTTAGATAATGTCAGCACATGCAGAACAAATTATACAGTAAAAACGTGTGGAAAAACTTTGGTAACCTTCCATATTCTTGGGACCTTTCGATGATTGAATTTACATCACCCAGAGTGCAGTTCGGACTTGGTATGCAAGTAACGTGTAACAAAAGCTTCACTACGTTTTTTTGGAATCGAAATAGAGTTATTTGTTTTTTTGCTGCCGCCAGTCAAAAATATAAAAGGTATCGACTAATTAGGTTTGATTAACGGCAGCGAAAAACCAAAATCCCGCATGAAGCTCGTAGACACAGAGTTCGCATGTTTATGGCAATTGCAGTAATCTGAAATAGCTGAATAAAGCTGAATAAGGCCAGAAGTGTTTTACTTAGATCTAGTTTGTTCTTTACGGTAGCAATTTTGGAAGGACTTTTCCCAGCTTGTCTCTTCAATGCTCGAATCAAGGCTTAGACTTGGGCTCTACATGTACTCATAGCATAAATTTAGAACAGCGTTGTTAGCATTTTTTTCCGAGCTGTTCTTGGAAACTTGAGTCTGCAGCTTTATTAGTATTTTTTGCGGGAAAACCCTTGTGCCGTGGGACAGGGTTAGACAGGATTGATTTCGAATTCCAAAGCACCTGGGTCAGTATCTTGATTTAGATACAAACTTAGTTTAATTATAACTGCCCAGTTTGGAAACGGTCATCATTTTGAGAAGGGAAAGGGAGTGTGGTTGGAGACTGAAGTGGGTGCTGTCATAATAATGATAATGTTAGAGAGGAATACCAACAYCAAAATTAACAACAACAAAAAATCAAAATTATCGAACCCTGAAACAACCTCTGGTGGATCAAAACAGTGCACGGCCGGCTAACTCAAAAATTGAATTGAAATTTAACTAATTATTTTTTGATCAAGTGAGATGTACATACAAACTCTGCTTACAGGGGTGGAAAGACCGAAGGTTAGAGAACTGCATTGTCAGCAAAAATACTGACACGTGAATATTCCGTGAATATTAATAGAAACCCCGTCGGGCCTAGCAATTTTTAAGAAAAAAATTTATATCGTGAACATATTGAGATTTTCGTCACTTTTTAAAATGCATACTGAAAATCATTCCTTGAGGCAATCGATTGGACATTTTTTGGTGTATTTGAGTTTAKTTTTTCGCTGTATTTGAAACTCAATGCTTCATTTAAACTGTAGAAAGTTCAGGAAAAAATAACCTGAAAAAAATCTTCGAAGCGTTCACGGTTCGAGTTTCCTCACTGTAATTGTGAACGTTTAAAAAAACCAGGGTAATTCGGGACAATTTTCCATTATTAGTTCGCGTGTCGTTGCTTTATACCATTACAGGTGAAGTATAGCTCAACTCTGCTGGGGGGACCAGGCACTTAAATATAACATGTTATGAAATAAAAGAAATATACAATTCCCGCTATATTGTTTTGTGTTTGTCTCTGTTTGATATGACGCCTATTTTGTTTCCTTCAACGAAAATAATAACATCTATTATAAAGCTTTAACAGTAATGGGAAACAGATAAGAAAAAAACATCTATGACTGACACCTTTCCAATTTGAGGTAAAAATTTRAAACATTTCAGTTTGACATATATTGTTTACTTTCAAATGTTATTTCCTTTTTGAAAACAATCACCTCTATTATATATCAATACAGCTTTCTGTTGGCTTTCTGTTGGGAACAGAACTCAAATAGAATAAAACCAACAAAAGTCTATTCCTCGCGCCTTTCTGGATGAGACAAATATTAGAAAAAAATTACGTGAGTTTATGGCATAATTTGATTACTTTTAAACGTCGTTTTATTTTTGTTCTGCCTTATTAATTAAATGCTCTGAATGTTTTGTTGACTTTGGTCGACTAACTTCTTAACTCTTTGGTCAAGATGTATTTCGTAATCTAGAATGTTAAAGTGAAAATTATTTGTAAGTTTGGAATGTGTTTGTTAAGGCACATTCTTGACCAGGGCGTCACGTTCCATCCTAGGGTCATTCCAAGAAGTACTAAGTGATCAACTCTATTTTWAAAAATTATCATTTCCTTTGCAATGACTATCATTATGCTGTCAACTACTTGTCAAAACTATTGGGGGTTTAATCCCTATATAAATTAATGCACCCAAACACAACAAGCTCAAGATCGGTGGAAACCTCCACTTGGGGTAAATTTCGAGTGCATCTTTGGCCAATGTAGCTCAACTCTCTCAGAATATGAGTCGTCACTTATAATCATGAATTGGTGAAGAAACGTAGGAGCTGGAGGTAATTTATCACTGAGGACTGCCGAGGCTTTCTTATTAAGTTTATAATATTAATTTCTAYTGAGAAGCTTACGGTATTTGATTAGCAACGAGGTGCAAGCTGCCAGACAAAGGAACCGGTGAAAATGCCTTGTGAGTTTGTTCCACGAACAGTAAATAACACGTACATAGCTTTGGAGCTAGAAGTTAATAAACCAGAGAAGAGAACAATGTACGAACAGAAACTCGAATTTAGTAGGCCTATTACTTCGGGTTATTCCGTAGAAAGAGGAAGACTTCATGGAAGACCCCAAGAAGAATGTTGTCGGGAAGATAAGAAATTCAATCCTAAAATGTTCTCTAAGGAGACTCAGTACCAAGTATTTGGTTACAGAACTTTACCAAGAGTTTTCTCGGCTTTAGGAGATTTTGGAGTCATCCAGGAAACCGAATCTGCAATTGATGATGTCTGTGTATCGTCTGAAAGGGACTTAGTGCCTCCTTTGGAGCAAACTCTCAACCTGAGGCGTAAAAGTACAGCAAATGTTACCTCCAAAACAAGACTTGACGTTAGCTGGCTCACCTCTTCTTCTTTGCCTAAAAATAATCACAGACGAAGTTCTGAGGGGTCACTACTCGTTTCCGCTCGAGAAGATCTAAGATTGGGCGAATATCGAAATKACTCCGAACGCATTTTGAGCGATCACCGAAGCGAGAGAAAGGACAGTATTGATATATTGGAGCAGATCAACAACACAGGAGAGTCTGGATTACTCAATGATTACTCTCGAAGGTCGTCATTTACGGCAATGAACACTATACCAGAGAATTTAAGTGACTCTCAGCGCTTTTATAGCCTTCCAAGAAAGTTCAGTTTACCGGTTGAAAACCGCAAGCGTACAACGAACAGAAATGGAAAGAAGCAAAGAAATTCGTTCCCCGAGAATCCAAGTAACTCAAGAACGTTTGCWTTAGATGAGGACACAGACGTCCAATGGAAGAGGTTAGTTGCTAGAGCAAAGGATTTTCAAAAACTTTCATCGAGAGAACCGCCTGGGACTACACAATCGAAAGTAGAGGAAACGGACGAGGTGAAAATGAGAATCGAAGCTACAGGTTTTCACACCAAAAGTGTTGATMAAAATTGTGGAAATGTGTGTGATATCGAAGCAAAAGAGAACGATGAGTCGGCGGAGACATCTCAAGAAAATTTAAACGAGTCTTCAAAAAGTCCAGATGAAACCGAAGACGAGGGAAATTCCAGTATTTCGGATCCTTTGAAAGTAAAGGAAGTTGCAAAGTCGGGTCAAGTTGACTTAACTGTCAAAAACGTCCCTATGAAACATGACTTTGATCCTCAAGTCCAAATGGACAAAAATAGTCGTCGATATTCTTTGGCGACGGTTCGTCCTCCACAGGAAGTAAAGGAAAAAATCTCGGGTTATAGTACTCATGGAGCTTTAGAATATGCTAAGATGTTACTAGGAAAAATACAAAGCGAGGGGAAAACAAAGAGCAAGAAAGAACGCTTGGACGAGATGAGTAAAGCCTTGAAAATGGTTTTGGAGGAGTTGAACCGTATCGATCTGCCAGACAGGGAACTAGTGAGCCTCTTTGTAAGCTTAAGAGACAAAATTTTCATCCTTAAAGCTGAACTAAAGGCAGATGAGAAACATGAACTTAAAACAAATGACAAACATGCAGAAAATGGTGTAACGGAGCTGTCAAAGTCTTTACCTCCTAGAGTAAGGAGTAACTCGGAAAGTGTCATTACGCAACCAAACTTTCGACGATTTAGTTGGTGCTAATAATGTAAACTGTTCCAAATAATTTGAATTTTGAGTTATAATTTTATTGACGAATATTAAGGAATTTTATTATTTAAACAAGAATTGAATCGAAAAAACTTGTTGCTCTAGCGAGAAGATTAAACTTGTTTTGTACAACAAGAAAAATTTATATTATTTTCAATCAACAAAAAAGTGAATATGGGAAAAATATAAATCAAAGTAAAAACTAACTTTTGTAAAAATTCCTTTAACAGTAATAAATCACAATATATTTTTTACACTGACTTATAATGTATCAACACGTCTATATACATATATCAGCTGTCATGGGGCTCCTCGCCTATAGTTAGAACTCTAAGCAAACTACCCACACATATGCACTATCAACACATCCATATACATATATTTCCTGTCAATGGGCCTCTTCACCTACAGTTAGAACTCTTACCTAACTACCCATACATATGCATTGTCAACACAAGTAAACACATACATATACATATATCARCTGTCATGTGCCTCTTCACCTATAAACGATCGCTAACCAAACCACCCATACATATACACATCAATACATGCCGTCCCATTGTTCTTATCTTCATACACATCCTTCAAATCCTGTCCATACCAGATACGATACTCTTGACCAGCGGTAACATTCATCGTAGTATCCAAATTTGGAAAGATCAGTTCAGGGGACTGGGACGTATATCCTCCAGGAAGATTGTATTCMAAAGTAGTGGCTCTGCTAATATATTCATCTTGTGGAAGAATCTTCTGATCGAGGTCATCGGTGATTATCGTGAACATTCTGTCGTGAAAGGATTTGTTGTGATTAGTGACGTACGGTCCACAACCCCAGTTGCTCCTGGTTTSCTTCTGCATGTAGTTACACGWCACATAGCCAGACARGTGCACCAGCTTTACTGTAGAGACAGAGCCATTCTGTTTGATGTAGAATGGTCCGTATRATGAATCTTTTGCTCCAAAGCAAACAGGACTTGCATTGATCTTGAGCCACTCCTTCTTTGTCGGCAAGGCGTCGGGACCTGTGGTGGGCTGTAATGAAAATGATGGTTGATTTAGACCGCGTTTTTGATTAATTGAGATGTTGACTAAGAGACAGCTGCTATATAGGTCTCTACCTTGATTCGATAGATTTTSTCAGGATTCTCTAGCTTTTGTTGCTCCGCAAAAACACACCATGGCCAAATTCCAGTTCAATCTGTGAGTTAGCCGCGCCCTTGCTTTGGTCGTCAGGCTAGTGATTAATTTATTTTAGGATATCAATAATATACACTTTTAGCATGAGACAGCACTTCGTCGTTAGATGCACTAAACTAAATCATTGATGCATGCATCATTTTCAAAGATTTAGATGYAAAATACATAAATAAATGAAAAATATTACCTCGAATACTGTATAGTGATGATAAAACTGAGATGGTTTCAAGAGYTCACTGGATCTACTCGTCTTGATTCTCAACAACACACATTTGTACAAACCATCTTTATTCGGTTGAACAGCGACGTTCAGCGACAAGCACTCTGSAAAACGCTGACATTTCCACGCACAACTGAGAATACTATTAAGAAAAACTGTCTTCATGGACTTTCCTTCGAGCTTGTGAAAGTCAACTCTTGTTAAGACTGCATTTAAAATCTCTTCAGGTTGGGAGTAACAGAAGAGAAAGATGGGCAAAAAAATAAGTGAAAAAATTTGGTACCGATTCATTGTAATTAAGTCTTGTTCGTGTTGTATAGCCAAATGAAAGAAGTAGCTGCTTTAACTGTTAATATACAATTGCGATATTTACGATCTATATAACTTGAGTAGTACTTCAAAGACAATGCAAAATTTCCCTCTCTATATCTGGGTCCGATTCACAGCTGCCGTGTAAAGCAGACTTTAATTTGCTTGTTTATTTTTCCTTGTCTTTCTTTCTACCTTTCGTTTCTTCTTTTCTTCTTTCTTTCCTTCCTTTGTTTCTTTGTTTCTTTCTTTCTTTCCTCGTTTCTTTCTATTTTCTAATCGATTTTAATATCAAAAATATTCGTCTCAGAAATACTTCTAATATTTAAGTGATATTCTCAAACTCGGTGATGATTTTCGTTCACTCATTTCTTTGGGAATATCTGACTCTGCAAATGGTTTTTCTTATCTACGTTTCGACAATACTTGGTTGGTCGTCTTCAAGATCTGGCGCCCTTGAACAGTTTTTCCATTACGGCTTTTAATAATATTTCATGAGGACATAACAATGAAAATCACTAGCGCGAAAAAGGTTTGCGGAAACGTTATTTTAATTAACATAAAATTTGGGCAATTCATGCTTTGAATTTCTCCAAGAACCCTTAATAGTTTGAGAGGCCACATCAAGCACATGAAAGAGTGTTTCATCCTCTATTCAAACACCTCGAASWCGGSTCCGCCTCGTTTTTYYMACTCACTTCTCGGTGTTAGGAAATCGAATGAAAMWCTCTTTTCCTTGCTTGATATATTRCTTAASAAATTGAAAATGTTTCAAACATTTTCTCGTTTCAGCGYTGAAAATAATTAAGTATGTTTACGTAGGTACGCTATTTTAACTTTGCTATTAAATCCTCTTTGCTCATCAAATATGGTTTAATTGCGTGAATTCGAAAATCTTTTATCTCAATGATAGCGCAATTAATTGAAATTTTAATCCTAATAGCTTTTATCATTTCAGTTTGGAGCAAAATGTTTTGGATTAGGCTGCTTTTTTTAATAGATTATTTTTTGATTCATATTCAATTTTTCATTTTTGCCATACTAATTTTTTTCATTTTTCCCATATATTTAATTTATTTTCTTTGGTTTCCTCTTTTTCCGTCTTTCCTTGGTTTCTACCTT